ACACGTAACAATTGTTTGTTGTTTTTGAAAAGTACATTTATCAGAAAGACCGTCTGCATCTCCTTCGACCCCGAATCCTTCGCTTCCGTCTTCTTCGCCTTCCTCTCTACCCCCGCCTTCGTCCCCTTCCTCTTCCCCTCCGACCCCTTCGCCTTCGACCGCTTCCGTCTCTTTTGCCTCAGTTTCCTTCGCCTTCGCCTCCCGAATCTTCACCTCCGTCTGCGTGTACTTCGCGTCCATTTCCTAGGCGTTCGCCTCCCTCTCCGTTTCCTTCGCCTCCATCTCTTTCGCCCCCCTCTTCTTCGCGTCCGTTTCCTTCCCCTCGGCCTCCGTCACCTTGATTCTTTAGAAACATGCTAATCTTGAAGTTTCCCGAGAAGTTCTCTCCTACAGAGTTTTCTCTGAAATATTTTGAGTTGGTAGTCCAAAAATACACTGATGTCCCATGCAGAGCTCTCTCAGTTCCCTTTACGATGAAAGAACTCAGTCTGTCTGAGTGCATCAGAAGAGCAGGTTATTTTCTAGAGGAGTGATTGAGTTGCAAAACTGACACGGGACTGTATTTTATACATCGAAAAAACGGATAATCAAGGAAATATTACAATATAAAAGGTCAACTAATTGCAATTTTTTGAAACTTGTGAACGCTCTTTATTTTGTAGTAGAGTTTTTAACTACTCAAATGAAATGGAGCGATTTGGATCATGTGGGAATCAGTTGGGTCTAGCATACCCATCTAATCAAAATTCAGTTGTTAGACGCGCCATGTCGACAAATATAGTTACTCGCAAAGAAAAATCATGGTCAACAGTCTCGGTTCACTATTCTCCCTCAGCACCGACCGCGAGTGCTCGCACATTTACTAGTAAGTTTTTAATTTCTATTACCTCATTTTAACTTTTTATTTTAAAAATAATTATTAATTTTATTTTTGAGAAGTATGCTGAATCTCAGGAAAATGAATGTTAATAATATTCAAAGATGCTGAAACAATGTAGGTACTAACTGTGCCCCAAAAATTGGGCAAGTTATGAATGTGATTTTGAAAATAAAATTACGAAAGAGAGGAGAAAAGAGAGAAGGATCAATGACACACTGACTGGAAACACATGTGTTCTAGTTCCGTGCCATAAGTAACAGGATGCTGAGTTTTTGCTTCCTCCCCTCCTCTTTGCAGGCTGAGTTTCTTTAGTTTTATTTCTGAATTTTTGCTTGTTGTAGTCATTACTGTAGCAGTCTCTGTGTTAGAAACATGAAATTCTCTGCTCTTATATGACAATTGCTCACTGTAATTCATCAATTTTTTTTTTATGTGAATGTTATTGTTTGTGTTATGATTTTATATTATTGACTTGTATATGATGGTTCTTTCACCTGAACCACATTTGCTGAAAATGTTGATGTTGAGACATTTGCATATAAGTATGTATCAATTTCTTTCTTTTCTAGTGTATCTCTAAGAGATACATTTTTTGTATATTTGTTTTGAATTGTTGACTGGTTCTAATTGCCTCTACCCAAAATCAAATATTTTAACAGAACGTGAATGTACATTTCCTTTGGTAAAATCTAAGTCGTAATTCATAACATATACTTCTCTTTCATTACACTGTTTTAGTCACTCTAGCCTTCAATTATACAGAGCAGCAAATGTATATTATAAATTTCGCTTTGCTTATCATGTTTATTTACTGTTTCCATTATTTTACTATTATTCCCTGAGTTTGTTTTATTCTGTATTGCTTTCGTATGTACCAAACAGATAACTTGTTTTTCTAGAAAAATCATCCCAAGATGGAAAGAAAAACAACACTCTGCCAATGCCTAGATCTTATGCATCGGAGTCTCCAAGACCGAGTGCCAGTAGGCCATTGCCCCCTCCACCACCTGATGGTAACGTCTAATATGAAATTGTGGACTTTTTTTTTTTTATATTCTATAATGAAAAATAAGGTATATTAAGAACTCGAATGAATTTTTGTGTTAACAATCTTTGTAGGTGGAGTACAGAGAGTTGTCAAAATTCCATTGATACAAATGCCATGGTATTTTAATGTTGATCGTGCTAGAGGAGAAGAAATTCTTCGAAACAGTAAGATATAAATAATTCTTAAATGTTGTTAAAATAACCAGTTGATTAAATGTTTTTACTAAATATTTACTATTACTTATTGTACTTGTAATTCTCAAACTTCCTTTAAGGTGAAGATGGAACATTCATGATTCGGCCATCATCAAAAACCCAAAATGCACTAACTCTCACTCTTAAATATGGCAAAAGACCTTTCAATATATGTGTAAGACATCGGCCTGATGGACGATTTGCATTAGGCACAGCAAAACCAACAGAACAAGTAATTATATTTATTTCAGTGACTACTAAAAACCTTTGCCATGTTTCGATCTATCATCTAATATATGTCTGTAGAAATACTTGGATATATATTTCTCTAACATTAATTTTAAACCATGAATTTAATAGTAGTCATGAATGTGTCAATATTTATGACTAATTTATTTGCAGACTTTCTCCTCTGTGGAAGAATTAGTGAATCATTATAAAACAAACGAGTTACTGCTGTACAGTAATGGAAAACAAGCTGGAATTGTTGTACTTACATCTCCTCCAAGGAAAGATCCATCAAGTCAGTAGTTAAGATGAAGAACTTTCTTATTGCTAAAGGATTAAAATGAATGATGGTAAGATAAAGTGAACTGACACATTTTGATTGAATTTTGTTGACTTCTCGTCTGTTTCAAGTCTTTAAAAAGAATTATATGTCTGCAGCTTTTATTCTTGTAGGAGGTGACTTATACTTGGACCACTATGCTTGTTTTTAAAATCTGTCAATGCACAATTAATCACTGTGCAATGTTAGCTACATGCTAAACCATATGATGTAATATTTACCTAGACCTTAAGTTTGGAAATTTAAATAGTGCAGAAATTTAAATAGTGCAGAAGTACCTAAAATTATGTTCAGAATTTCCACTTGTTTGGATGCATGTATGTTTTTAGTTGGGAGTACTGTACTGAAGAGATATTTTCCAATATTTTCAAGTTATCTGGTAGTTTTATTTTCATTTCATTTTTTAACTAAACATCCTTTCAGTTATTAAATAAATGATATTTATTGATATAACAATCAGACTATTAATCTGTAGTATGTTTTCAAAAGGATATTATCGTCCTCCCCTTCTCAAAAATGTATGGGCAACGAATATTAAGAAGATGCCCCTGAGTTGACCAGTATGTGTAAGGCCATCTCTGTAGGCTGTAGGCCTGCATTTTCATGTGAAACAGAGAGTACCAGCATAAGTACATTGCTTGCAAAAACTACCTGTCTGATCATTGCCAATACTATTGACAAGGGCAGATTTATGCAAAGGCACAGGAGGCACATCGCCACAGTGGCAAAATTTTAGGGGCAGCAGATATTGTGGATCAAAATTGGGTCTTAAGGAGCCTTTTTCTTTGTTGCATGCGGTTTTGCTTTTTCCTTTCCATTTATATTCTATTTTTTAACAAAATAATTAATTACTCGAGAATTAATTTATTAACAGGCTGATAACACCTTCGGCTATATGATTTTGATGTCAAAATGAGCAGTGTTTACATTTTTAGAAGTAATACAATTATGATTTAATTACAGTTACTGAAAAGGAGCCTTCATGTTATATCAACGTAAATTATTGATGTTATAAATTTTAGCAAAATTAAAATTATCTATTCATGTAATTTTGATAATCTGTTTGAGGATGTCTTATTTCATTAATATTTTCTTGTAATGTTAAATGTAGACATCTAGTTAATTTTAAGAATTAAAGGAAGGATAAAAAATATGCATAACTACAACAAAAAAACAAAACATCAATTTATATTATTTTTAAACATCAAAATATATTATTTAAAAATCAATAGATTTCCCTTAGAAAAAATTGAACACGTATAAATTATTAGTTAAACTATATTTGAATATGCGTGTCCAAATATTGAACATAAATGATACTTATTACATAAGTAACTATTTTCTGGGTTATTTGAAAAATGCAGTTTTCATATGCTTTCAGGTAATAAACAGTGGCAGATCCAGGGAGGGTACTAGTAAGAAAGTAATAGTTTTCATTTGTTACCTTCTTTTTTATTTTGCAAAATTGTTTACAATATTTATTTATATTAGAATTATTTACAAAATAATATTGTTTAGTATCATACATATTACAAAAATAATATACAATACAATAACAAATGTTTATCTTTTAACAAAAATCTATAATGGCCCCTCCTAATTAATTGTGTGGATCTGCCCCTGAAGACAAAGTTTTTTTCCGCTTCTGCTGTTGACGCTGTAGCTGGCCTTTAAATTTCTCACCCTTATGAAGCTACTTTGTAAGAAGAGAAAGTTATGTAATCATGCGCCTGAAAACTGTGAATTTTCTACACCAAAACTCTTATTGTTGGTCCCTGGTAATGAAAAATTGGTTAAATCCTTCGAAGACGTGGTGTAGCCAGAATCCACATTTTGTGTGCCTGAAGTACTGAAAAATCAATTGATGGCAAAATGTCTTTCTGTCCATCTCTATACTAGTGCCAAAAATGTTCAGCTGATTTTCTCCAAAATTCATACTCCCCAATCAATCTGGTTGATGTCGCAGCTCCTGGTTGAAACGATATTTCATTTTTTGAAAGTACTTTACAGTAAGATCCCACAACATCTTCAAACTTTTTTTAAGAAAGGGCATCAAATATTTTGATCAATCCTTGTCTTTGGGTAGGGCAAAGAATGCTCAAGAGAATGGTGCGGGTCTCGTGTTCATTAAAATCCCAGATTATTGAAAAGTGAAATTTTTTAGAGCATCTTCCTGCATTTTTAATAATGAAATTAGAGATTTTTTTCTGTAATAAAGTCTGTTCCTTAAAGACCTTTAAATAAGTTCAAGTTCAATTTTTCAAAAATGTGAGTAGTTTTCGTGTATTTGGCGTCGTGATATATTGGCAATTTAAAGAAAATGTTTAACTTATTTTCTCAAAAACCGCTCCAAAATTTTTCTCTAAATATATTGTACGGTTAAAAGAAGGGATGTTAAAACGAATGGTGTGGGTCACATTTTTGTAGACTCTCTGAATTTTCAAAAATTGCTAATAAAGAAATTATCTGAAAAAGTATGCGCTGTTGAAGCTCCACTAGTTTAATTTTGTAAGAGTGTATTATTGAATTCATGAATAACTGTGACATAATTTCTCGTTCTTCAGTTTTCCAGAGGGGTTCACTTTTCCTTTGATATCCCCTTCAAATATTAAGTGCAAGTAATGCCCATGATTGCTTGTGAAAATTGTATAAAAAGAGCATCGATCTTAAAATAACAGTACAACTGTTTGCACTTAATCATTTAATTTGCCTGCACAAAACATTGAGAAAGATTTCAAATATTGTAGCTACAATTAGGCAATTTCAAACTACACTCTCATAGCTTAGATTCATTCATTATTATGTGAAAATAAATGTAAATATTTAAATATTCTCCCTAAAAGGATAAACAGATCTTCAGGAGTGGGGACATTACATTTTATTTTCCTCACCATTATTAACAGGCCATTCAAAATATGCATATTCTTTTTGATTCTGCTCCCCCCCAATCACTATGAAGTATTGTTATGAGTTTCTCTTTGTTTCAGGGATGTTTATGATTCTCAAATTACAGCTGAATTCATAATTGAAGAATTTATTGAAAATTATTAAACACATTTGGTACAAAACTAGAAAAATTATTTAAATTCTATTTGTAATTTATTAAGGTGAACAATTTGTAACAAGTAAGGTTAACAATTATGAAATAAGCAAAACTCTATTTACAGTATTTGTAACATCTTCAAGATCAGAAATGATAGGTACACTAAAAAAAAATTATTTCCCGCTTCGTAATCAACAATCATAAATATTTAAAAGGTATTTCTTATTGATGTCAATCACAGATCTATTAGTTATTGAAAAGTTTGTTTTATTCATATTCGTGATCAGTAGATCAATAGATCTGTGATTGACATCAATAAGAAATACCTTTTGAATATTTATGATTGTTTGCTTACGAAACGAGAGAGAATTTTTTTTTTTTAGTGTACCTATCATTTGTGATCTTTTTTCAAGTGTTATTGATAACGCCCATGATTGTGAAGTGTTATTGATAACATCCGCGCTTGTAAATTGTGTATGGCTATTGAAAGAAGTATTTTAAAAATCTTTGATAATTGCACCTTAAAATTCTAAGATTTCTTAGGATTCTCTTAGATACATTTGATTAATTTTGTAATGAATATTGAAGAAAACATTCCAGAATATCTTCAACAGGGAACAAATAATGCTTATACATAATTATAAAGTTAATGTTTCCCAAAGAGGATAACTTTTGGGAAGAAAATTATTATATTTAGGGGTTTGGCATTTTTCTACAATTTATCAGATATAATTGTTCTTTTCAGGTGAAATATGAATTATAGGGCTTGTTCTTGTCTATACTTTATATGAACACTATAAACCTTTACTGCTATCTTTAATCTGCTGTAAAATATATTCTGTTGTGCTATGAAGAACTGAAAATTCTTGGTATGCAGAATCCAATTGAAGAAATTGAAGATTTCATTGAAAGATTGTGAATTTAACAAACAAGCAAATAAACAGAACGTTGTTTGTTATTTTCTCTTAAAATATTTTTGCATTTACTATTCTGACTATTGAACATTAAATCAATATTGGAAAATTCTTGTAGTTGAGGAAGCTACATATGTAGACTTATTTTTACACTATTTATTCTTTCTATGTTCAGTATTCATTTTACCTAAAAATCTAATCTATCCACTTCAGTTATCTGAAGTACAACTTCACAGAATGGAACTCAGTTTCATAATAGGAATTATTTAATAATTATGGCCTCTTATTAACATCATTCTGTCACTTTTCCCATGACAAAAAATCAAATGTAATATATTTAAATCAAAAATAGAGTACATTGGAATTTTAAAAAAGTTGATAAAATGTTGTAGATAATTTGTAGATTGTAATATCTTATTACATGACTCAATTACTCTTTCACTCTTAAATAATTTTCTTATCTCACTTTGTAATAAGATACCTTACAGTACTTATTTCATAAATGGCCATTATTCTTCATAGTAAAGGTAAATTTTTATTTCAATCTTTTCAAAAAAGCAGCTGTCATGTATTTTTGTAAGTTTTATATGAACAATATATAATTATATTGAAGTGTACATTGTGTATAAAGTAAAAAGTGTCTTATATTTAACCAATGAAAAATAGTATATCATGTACAGATTATATTTTCTTTTAAGGGAAAAATAAGAAAATAAAAAACTTAATTGACTGATTTTCAAAATGAGTGATATTTAAAAATATGTATGATACTGAATTATTTGAAAATATATTATGATAAAATTGTATAAAAATATGTTTTCATTTAAAAATATTTTTTTTTCTTCCTTCTACCTTATGCCTGTTCGTTTTCTGGTCTAAATCCAATATTTATACTCACGACCAGTGGCAAAGAGCAAGTCAAGACAAGGTAGTAACTCTCTATCATAGGGAGCTAGGAGATGATGAGCGACGTGGGATAGTAGATCCATGAAAGCCCCTATTTTCAAAAAATTTCCTACAGTCCTACTATTTTTTTCTTTTCAAAAATTTTTTTGAAGAAAAGTAAGCGCAAATCAATTTTTATAATTTTATTTTATAAAGTCAACTATAAATTACATGGAAACTTCCAAAATTGTGTCTTAGAAGACACATTGCAAACTGTTATTCTTTGTGACACTCTCATTATGTATAATACGAAAAAATGAGACAACATCCAGCACTGTAGTGTCTGTGGTGATGTAGCAGTCAATATGAATTGCGCACCTAGAAGTGGCATTTAAACTCGATTTTCTCTTTTTTTCTTCTTCTTGTTTGAAAAACCAACTACTGTTTTGTTAAATTCCCTGAATCTGTTGTATTTTTATTTTTTATTCTTTTGAGGTGTGGCTTCACACACGTTAGGATTAAGATACATTAAGTGTTGATCCCCCAATCTATCTGCCTCACGATGTCATGGCCCTTGAATTGGAAACTGATGTATTAATTTTGGGGTATTCTTTGCATGAAGTTCCTGGGTCATTTTAAAATATTTTAAAAAAGACATCAAGTTGTGTTATTAAATTTTGTTGTTGAATAGTGTAACAAACGCTTAAGAGAATGGTTCAGGTCTGATTTTCTTTGAAATCTCAATCGAAAATTGCAAAAACAAACTTTTTAGGCGTCTTCCTGTAACTAAAATATTGAAGATAGAGCTTTTTTCGTACCCCAAGTGAGGAACTATTTATAAAATAATGTATGCACTCTTATTTGAAATGGGTAATTAATATATTTTTTCCAAAAACACTAAAAATTGCCTATAAAAAGAACAGGCACCCAGAAGTCAAAACTGTACAAAACATTACAGAAAAATTCCACTCAGGAACGGAAATCTTTGCCCTCGGGAGGCTAAAGGATGTGAAAAAATTAATACGTTCCTTAATCCAATTATATTACACAAAATTATTCTTTAATACGTATTCATTACGCCAGTTTATATTTTACATGAATATATTTTTGGAATATATTTGAGCATATTTATATAATATATGAATATATTTATAAAATATATTTTTGCGAACTACACTTCAATTCACGTAGGGGCAAAGTAATTTTCTTTTATAAAAAGTACCACAATTAATTCGGCAAAAAAAGTTTTAAAATATTTATTACCTACTAGAATTGTATAATGAATTTAGATTAGACTACATCCTAATGTTTAATGTAAGCTAATGATTCTATAATTGTGTTAAGGATAAAAAACTATTGAAATCATTAGCATGGATGATGTCACAACTGTTCATGAATTCGCAAAATCTACTACAGTTTAGGATGTCATTTTGGGGTGAAAAGTGTTTAGAATGAAGTGAAACTTGAAACAATCAGAAAATGTTTTATAAACTGAGGATTTGGAAGTGGTTTTGCTTGAAGAAATAGAGCATGTCAACATTGTACATATCAAGGATTTGACTGAATTCGGCAACATTGATGTTGACATTTCAATAATATTGAAACTTGGAATGATGAGGTTTCGGAAGTTGAACATGAAATGATTGTGGAAGTGAGACACAGATGAAGTGACAAAGAAAGTGGTAGGTTTCAAGTTGAACCATTATGATTTCCTGATGCATTCTCCTGCATTAGAAGGCATAAGATTTTGGCAAATTAATTGAAAAATGACAAGTTAATTTTAGGTGAAATTGAAAAAGATTGTAAAAATATTATTGTAGATGAACGTGAAAATAAATTCAAATAGATAAGTACATCAGATTTTATGCTCAAGGGAAAGAATAAAAAGTCTGATAGGTACAATGTCTTTTGTGTGTTTGTTAGTGAAATGCATGTTATTTGTATATTCGTAGTTTCTTTTACTTTTTCATATACGTACATATATACAGAGTAATATACGTAGTTTTGAGAAAGTTATCTAATGCTACGCGAAAAAACGCTACGCTAAAAACGCTACGCTAAAAACGAAAAAAAAAAAAATGATTTCACTAACTAATAAATACATCGTATACCGTATGTATGTATTTATGTTCATTCCCAGAATGTTGACTTGATAAGTGAAACCTCTTCTAAACGACCTCTTCAAGACGACCATTTTTAGGTCCAAATTTAGGTGGTCTGCATGAAGGAGTTTCACTGGACTGTTTATCCATTTGGCATATAATTGTAAATAATAGAGACGAAGATATAACAGCAGTAATAGCAGCAACAAGGGCGTCGAAACAACACTAATCTAAACGTACACGCTTCTCCTCGCCCAGGCTAGAGCACACGCACAGCTTAAGTTAGCTGTGCTTTAGTCATATACCGCAGGTAGTCTCGAGTCCCTAAGAAGCTTAGGAGATGCGCGCGCATTGTAAACGAGATTTTGACCGACCTCGTTTTCCAATTACTAAACTTAACCATAAACTGAGCGACAAGCTTTAAACGAATTGCTGGTAGAAGTAAATGAACAATATTGGAGATATAATAATGCATTCAAAAAGCTGTGAATGAAGTTGAGAATCTATGGAAGGTAAGGTGGCTGTGGTTGTACAAAACTGCAACCAGGTTAGAAACCGCCCCCTGCGTTACATTTGGAACATTATATAATTTATTCACCGTTGTAATGAAATACCGACTAGTTTTAAATTCATTTCTACTTAGGATGATTCCAAAATAAATACAATTTTTTTTTGAAATTTCCTGATAAAATACGTTCGAAGCAATCCTGTGAATAAATGTCCGAAAATGCATAATGGATTCTCAAATCGAAATACACTTGATTTCTATGTCACACTTGCGTAGAAGATCACTATATTTCTTCAGCCATTTTTTTCAGCATCTGATGAGAGCATTTCATAATAGATCGATTACATAGGTATTTTATATTAAGGGGTTTATTTCTCTCTAGTGCACACATCACCTGTTCCTAAAAACGCTCACGATTTCAAACATTTTTGGGCTTCATCGATGCTTCATGAAAAGTATTGACGGCTGCACAGAGATTTAGAGTATAGAAATGAATTGATATTCGGAATAGAATTGCTATTAAGGAGGGTTTTCATTTGTATTTACGGACATTTAATCACTATATACTCATATGTACTTTAGCCCAACAGCTCTTTACGAGCTAAGGCCAAAGTATAATTACAAAAGATTTTTAAATACTTAAGTGTACGAATTCTCTGTTGTTTTTTTATTTCAGAAAGTACTCTTTGTTTAGTAGAGAAAGTAGCCAGAAACTCAAAATATCATTCGACATCCACATTATTAACGAGTGACTTTAAAAGACATCTCGGATACTCATTCACTGGTACTTCAAAGTCTCAAACAACAGGCCAGCGCCACACGAGCGTCAAATGACGGACGTTGAAGTGCTTTTATAACAGCGCAGCAGGGACGCAAACAGGTCGGGGCACATACGTGTCACTAACTCTTGTAGAGTTTTGTGTCACGCGTCAAAACAAGACCACCAACGTGGGAAATCAGCGAGCATAAGCCGGAGATGTAACAAGGGCGGAGTGG